CCTCATTCACCCTGCTGTCCTATCTGCCCTTGTCTCATCTGCCAGAGGCCCAAAGAGATCAATGAGGTCATCACCCAATGCTTGTCCATATACCTGAATATGCAGAGCCTCCAGCTTACAAGCCATCCTGTCCAGTGTCTGCATGGTCTCATCCTGTTGTATTTGGAAATCATACATTCAATCTTCATAGTATTGGCAGTGGGCCTCAGCATCACAGAGTCAACATTCCAAATCTTCAATTCACTGTTCAATTGTGTTGGATGTTTGTGACACCTTGGCAATTGGGGCACAGATGGGTGACAGTGTGCTGGGAGTTGCAGTGGTTATGAGTTGGATGGGTGCTGCTGTTGTCAATGGGTGGGTATCTGCTTTGAATACAAGGGTTAATGACAATACTTACCACAAATGTGGAGTGATTAAACATACCTGCTACCATAGATTCCTCTACCTCCTGTGCAATGGATGGGCCAACCTCGGTGATTGAATCCACTTGTACAGTGGCTGGGATTGGTTGGGAATCCCTGTGTTTGAATGCAGGAATATGAATCTCTGAATAAAATTTGAGTCAGCAGTAAATACATGAAATCGAGAATGTACTGAGTGAAGATCCCTCAGGGATAGTCTTTCCTTGGTTGGAGGGCCCAACCCCAGCATTGATGGCTTTGGAAGCCATCGAAACATGTCACTTTGGGGGATGTTCCTTTGGGCTTTGGGATTCTTGGGCCTCCATCATTGGGGACAGACTTTGAGCTCACTTTTTTCCCCTGGCTTGCAATTGATTCCATCAAGTTGGAGCAGTAATGCTGCATTTGGCATGGCTGCATTGAATCTTGTGACCATTGCATGAGAAGCAGGATTTCCTGGGGTTCATGTAGCATCAGACCTTGTGTCTGTGGCATGACTTGCAGGAATGGGGGTCAGGGGAAGGCATCCTTCTGGCAGCTATGGTAGCATGACTGTATAGTCCATCCAATGGTGGATGAGGCTTGTGTTTCAATTGGCCTTGAGTGGGAATGTCATCTTCATTGTCAGTTTCCACTGTTGTCTTCCTAGAGTGGGATCAACATCTGGATTGATGGGACATCATTTTCGTGGCAGCTTGGCACTTCTGCCTGCCTTGTGCTGGTTCTTCCTCATTGTCCTCCTGTTCTGGCACCTCATCTTCACCCTCATTGTCCACCTCCATCCTGTGTGAGCTCTCTGCTATCATTTGCTCCACCTCTGCCTTGGTTGCTTTCTGTTTTCTTTTGTTGCTCATAGGCATTTCAGTCTCTTGAGCAGGTGGTGTTGGTGTTGGCACAACATGGGGCATAAGGAGGCCCAAACAGTGGTAGTCATATCAACACTTGACAATGTCAAGCCACTTGTGGTTGGCAATGTTAGTTTTGGAAGGGGATAGGGCAGTCTTCCACTCAGGCCACAGGTGGTCAATCAAACTGAGGCCTTCATGACACTTTCAAAACATGTCAACACTGATGAGGGTCATTGGAATCTCATCCATCCTAGTGATGAGGTTGTGTACAGTGTCCTGAATACATCAGTTAGTGAAAAAGTGTGATGATGCTATGACACACTAGTTCATCATTTATTACCTTGATGGCACCTCTCCACTTCACAATCTTGTCTGCCTTTCCCAGCTTGCTGCTTTCTGCAATATCCTTGAAGTAAATTTGAAGTATGTGGTTGGCTGCAGCATTGAGCTCAGGTGATTTCTTGAAGAGCTTGTGAGAAGATGATGACAACATGTTTCTGATGATGAGACAATGGAGTAATTTGACAGTGAGAGTGGTGATGGTGATTGGAGAGTGGAAGAGTCAGAGGTTAAAGACAGACAATGAGATGCATGGATGTCACATTGTTTATCCTGCCTATGAATGATTCGCACAGCATGATGGCAATACTGGTACAAGTCCATAATCCTGAATGCATATATGAAGCAGAGACTCAGATAAAAATATTATGCATTGTTCTGGAATAGCACTGCCATTTTTTTTGTGTGTTTCCTGTCTGCTCCAATGGCAGAGCCCTGGCTCACAGCTACATAGACCAGCACCTGAGATTCCAACTGAATAGGCAAATTGTCCAACATGAAACACAGTTTATAGTGGGAAATTCAGATACTTTATAGTGCAAGAGGTGCCACTTTCTTCATTTCTTGTCTTCCTGGGCCCATCTTATATTGTGACAGGGGGATAACCCAATATGGATAGGCCCATCCATTTGTGGTGAGCTATCTATGATATGACAGATCGGCCTGCCTTATGCAGTGCCAAGGGTTTGTAATCCTGTGATGGATGGATTGGCCCATCTTATGTTGTAACACTGGTTTTTGTTTTCCCTTATCTGCTGCCTGAGAATACCATGGATGGGCCTGTCCTTATGTAGATTCTGTTGATCCTGTATGAAGGAAGAAGTGAATGGTTTTTGAACACTTGTGTGACAAGCCAATATCTCAAAGTCCCCCACATAGAACATGGGGTTGGTCACCTTTGCAACACCATCTGCAGAGGGCAGAATGTCCCAGATGAGCCTCTGGGGTCATCATGGGGCATTGTGCTGGTCTGCAAAGATAACTTAGGAGGATGTGCCATCATAGCCTGCTGAGGCTGGGATGGGACATCCCACCCTCCCCTTTGCCAAGCAGTGGGATGTCCCACAACAGCCTCTAAGGCTACATTGGGACATCCCACTGTTCCCTCTGCCAAGCAGTGGGATGTCCCACAACAACCTCTAAGGCTATGTTGGGATGTCCCACCCTCCCCTTTGCCAAGCAGTGGGATGTCCTACAACAGCCTCCAAGCCTACATTGGGACATCCCACCCTCCCCACTGCCAACCAGTGGGATGTCCCCCAACAGCCTCTAAGCCTACATTGGGACATCCCACCCTCCCCTTTGCCAACCAGTGGGATGTCCCACAACAGCCTCTAAGGCTATATTGGGACATCCCACCCTCCCCTCTGGCAACCAGAGGGATGTCCCAACACAGCCTCTAAGGTGTTGAAGTAGTAATCTGCACTAATCCTACAAGCACCGTAGAGAATCCAATGCAAGGTAGCTCCATGGTCAGAGAAGCTGCTTGACACTGAGAGGGTCCTGGCTCAATGCCAGCTCTGGTCACATTTTCATCAGGTTATGAGCTGCATCTGGAACCCATGCATGCTTAGTACAATGGGTCATGCAGCATCCTTAGCAAGTCCAGATCATGTGAGTTACATGGACACAAGGTGGCTGATAGTAAGGCCTCCTGGAAACACAGCAGTAAATCCTGATCCATCACATGACACAAGGTCAAAAGGCAATCAGACCATTTGCATGACCCTAGGGGGTGTGCACTGTTTTTACACTCCAAAAGTGGCCAGATGAAGGGACTACATTGGAGATGGTGCATTCTGTGCATTAACTTCATGGAGATATGTTCCCACAGTGCTAGTCTAAGCCCCCAAGCTACTGACACTAGTACCCAGACCATATGGCTCAGTGGTTGCAGCACCTGGTAAACACCTAGGAGGTCACTGGTTCAATCTTAGGACTGGTCACATTTTCCTCATAAGGCTACTTTGGGACATCCCTCCCCCCCTCTGGCAAGCAGTGGGATGTCCCACAATTGCCTCTAAGGCTACATTGGGACATCCCTCCCCCCCTCTGGCAAGTAGTGGGATGTCCCACAATTGCCTCTAAGGCTACATTGGGACATCCCTCCCCCCCTCTGGCAAGCAGTGGGATGTCCCATGACAGCCTCTAAAGTTACATTGGGACATCCCTCCCCCCCCTCTGGCAAGCAGTGGGATGGCCCATGACAGCCTCTAAGGCTACATTGGGACATCCCTCCCCCCCTTCTGGCAAGCAGTGGGATGTCCCACAACAGCCTCTAAGGCTACATTGGGACATCCCTCCCCCCCTCTGGCAACCAGTGGGATGTCCCACAGCAGCCTCTGAGCAAGTGGGGAATGGTGCATTGCTCTTCACATAGTCTTGTTCCCATGTCACTGGTTTACCCCCATGCTACTGATATTAGTACCTGGACAATATATATTTGCTCAACTGTTAGAGCACTGTTTATCACCTAAGAGGTTGCTTCAATCCCAGCTCTGGTCACATTTCCATCATAAGGCTACATTGGGACATCCCACTTCCCCCTCTGGCAGCTGGGGGTAGTGTTGCTGTGGCTCAGGGAGCTGTCCTCAGCCAGGGGTCATACCACATCTATATTATTGAGTATTAAAATAATTATTGTGGATTTAGTATGTGGTGACACAAGGCTACATTTGGTAATAGTTGTCATAGTGACTAAGCTGCTTGTTGTTGAGCAGGTCAGCCTTTGGAGCTGAGCCACAGCAACACTAGCTGAGGCTATGTCCCAGAACACCCTCTTGGGTTATATTGACATTCCACCCCACTCTCCAGCAGCCAGTGGGATATCCCACAACAGCCTCTTAGGCTAAGTTGGGACATCCCACTGTCCCCCTTCTGAGACTGGTGTGGGGCATCCCACCCTCCCCTTTGTCACCCAGTGGGATGTCCCACAATACCCTCTAAGGCTACATTGGGATGTCCCACCCTCCCCTTAGGCAAGCAGTGGGATGTCCCACAACAGCCTCTAAGGTTACATTGGGACATCCCTCCCCCATTCTGGCAAGCAGTGGGATGTCCCACAGCAGCCTCTAAGGCTACATTGGGATGTCCCACAACAGCCTCTAAGGCTACATTGGGACATCCCACCTACCCCTCTGCCAACCAGTGGGATTATTCTACATTTTACCCATGCATATGTCTTGCAAACATGATGCTCAAAAAAAATTCTATTTAAACACACCAAATAGATTATAATATGTCTCTATCACCCTTATCTGTATCAAACTCTTTTACTTGGAGATGATGGTGGATCCATATCCAGTAGGTCATTCTCCCATTCTTCTCCCCAACAGAATTCTTCCAATGGCATATCACTTTGTTGGTGATATTCATCTGCCAGGGCAAATTCTTCAGCAACACTTAGCAATTAATCATCCATCACTTCATCCTCATCCTCTTCACCCTCTGACTCCAATCCATCAAACCTCTCCTCATTATCACCATCAATATATATAACATGACCACCCTGCACCATGCTGTGCAGTTCTTCATCACTTGCACCCCAGTTCTCATTAGGTGTTCCAGGATAGCCTCTAGTTGCCTCTTCCACAAGATGTACAGACCTGCTAGTCTCAATGCTCTGCAGTCAAGTTCATATGCAAGATCAACATCTGCAATGTGTGTTAGTCATGGTAATGCAATGACACATGTCTCTTACCAGCACTCTGTCTGGTTTTCTGCACATGACCCCACTCTTCAGAAAACCACTCTGTCAAAGCTCTTCTTTCCTGCAACAGGTGCCTTTCCTCTTCTTCACAATGCCTCAGCTCAAGGAGTGATCTGATCCTTGAGTGCACTTTTTCATCAGCTAACCATGGGGGTAGTAACCCATCTGAATCATCCCCAAGGCCAATATCCTGCCAAATATCATCATCCACATCCAGTTGAACAAAGAGTCCCTTGGGATCAGGAGTGGGGCTATTGACCCCTGAGGAGCTTTTCCCTTGTGTATGAGGCCTACAATTTGCAGACACAGATTATTGTAGCTACTGGAAAGCTTGGCTATTCCTGGTTCTTGTCACTTCACAGATGCTTCTGTGTGGTTTTGAAGTCTTTGTTCTTCAAGGTAAGTCAAATACAAGGGTATTCATGAATGATGACCTCTTACCACTGAGAGTCTGCTGATATGAGCATTCCAGTCTTTCCAACTCAAACTTTTGTTGGTGCAGAAAATCTCTGATATGTTTCTTGATTGCTAATGCATGCATGTGAAGCTATGGAACATGGTCTCAATTAGATGAAACTGTGTAGAAAATACACTGCCACTAACTTGAAGATAAGCACTCTTTTGGATTCTAGCAAGATTTGAATGCTCATTTATGCCTAGGGTTGCCCTCTGGTTCTGCAAAGCTTCTTTAAAACACTTAACCTTTTGATGACACTCTGCAATTTGGATATTCAAGCTTGTCATGTCAGCAACCCCATGGAGAAGATCTTTCTACAGCACTTCCGCCTTGGCCTCATAATTTCCCAATGATTTCTGAGTTGCCATGATTTGCAATATCATATTCTCAGCAGCTTTAGAGCTGTGACCTAATTTGATGGTGAGCAGGAGTCATTATTTATCTCAGCAGCTTACAAGGAGCTGGCTTTTTCTGTGCAGAGACTTGAGCAACCCATTCAGCTTGAAGAGTTGGGATATCAACTCCACATCTCCTTAGGCCTCTGTTTGCAGTAGCTGTCTTTTCTTGGCAATGATTCCAGTGACACAAAAGCCACTGGCCCAAACCAGTGAGACTCTTCATGTCCAGGTGGCACACCTGGAAGTCAATAACAAAGAGGCATTGATGATACTGAATAATATGTTAGCTTGAAACAGATGTGGCATACTGCACACATACCCCAGAAACATGAAGAGATGGTATCAGCCCTTTGATTGAACTCCAAAAACACTCACATCCCTCTCCATCAGATAGCCCAAATCCTTCACATTTTCAGGGGTGATAGATAAGCTGACATGCCCGTTGATGACCAAAGGCATGAAATACTGAGATGGCAAAAGAAATATGTGGCAGAAATGACTTGAGAAAACACCACTTCCTGCAGCTCTGTTCCAGTTGACAACCTATGTCATATAACAGCCCAATATGAAAATTATCTGGGAGATGGCCAAAAAGAGATTTGATGAGGGCAAGTGCATAATGTTGCCTCTCCCCAGCTGAAGTCATATTTGCAAGGTAAATGACACAATCATGATGACAGAGTAGGGCCATGACACCAGTATCTGAAAAGAACTGGGTACTTGCCTACACTGCCATCAGACCAATGGAGTCTGAATAAATGATTAAGACTCACTTTCTGGTGCCTCTCATCAGCTGCAGTAAAGGACTCATTACAACCCTTCAGCACTGACATTGTTATCCTCATTCCCTCTTCAAACTCATCCTCCCCATCACCAAGATAATTCTTTTTCAAAGGCTGTCCACTCCTCCTTTGGGTTGAAGACTTTGACTTTTGCAACTCATTAACCTCATGCTCCATAGCACAAATATCTTCTTGTGAAAGAAAGACTGTAGCTGTAGGGTTTACTGGATCATCTGGATGCCCACTTCTGCACTTCTGAGTAAAACAAGCATCAATGCAAACAATTGCATCAACATCAGAAAAGCTAGAACAAAGGAAATTTTAGCAGTTGACAAAACTATATCCACCAAGTGACATACCCATGTTCACTATTATTGCTCTGCCAGCTCTGGCCACCAAAGCATAGAGGACAACACTGTCATAGGTATTCTGATGGCCTCATCTTTGAACTGAGGACATCATTGTCTGGGGAACTTGGCAATGGGATTGCAGAGGGGATGTTTGATGGTGGACTAGCAGATTCTTGCAGTTGTTGTTGGACATATTCATCAAGGGATGTTTCCAGAATACAATACCAGTGATATGCATTACTGAACCTCTGGCATATACCCTCCTGCAAGTATCATCAGCAATGACCCATGACTGAGAAGAACAACCAAAGTATGCATTAATAATATAGCAACATCACCACAAACAATACCAACAAACATCCTACCCTATCAATATAACACTACAGCAGTCCCAAGAAACAGAACATGTCACACATGCATGCACTTATAACCATGAAATAGTCATGCATCAGATTAAGATATACTACCTACATAGCAGAGTCATCTGTACTACAGTCACTAGGGCAGTAATGTATGTTTTACAAAGTGGAAAAAATGGGGTAATGATACAAAACATGACAATTCCATACCTTTGTGTCCACCTCATAACCCATAGCTGCAAGGTATGCCTCAAGGGACTCACACCATGCTGAAGTGTTTGGAGGTATGCACATGAAGAGTTGTTGGACAAAGCTGAGAAGCTGTAGGCTAACAGCAAGTGTTGGCCCCAGTGGGGCACAGGGGAAGTAGCCCATCCAAAGGAGTTGGAGGGCTGCAGGTGCACAAGGACAGACAGCCAGATCAACTGATTGCAGAGCTGCCATGAATGCATCTAAGCAGAGGAAAATGATGAAGAACACAGAAATCTCACCATTGAAATCAATGCAAATGACTCTCAGTTTTTGAGTCTGGTGACAACCACACGTCGGCAGTTCATAGTCAACAGGATTCCAGAAGTGGTTGGATAGTCATTGATATGCAAGGTATGGCTGAAGGAGGGAAGGGATGACAGTGTGCAACCACTGCTGCCACTGCTTCATTTTTTTTTGGGCATTCCTAGATGGTGACAAGAGCAGGTCTTGGCTAATATGTAGCCCATTGGTTAAGCAGTTGAAAGCAGCATCATGGGAGAGGTCACATTCACTACCCACAGAAGGCTCTAATGGGTGAGCAGCACTTAAAGCAGAGCAGCATTGGATGTGTGGGTTGGAGGAATCACTGGGGTGTTGTGTGAAAGTGCAACAGCCAGGTAAGGTGAGCAAGTGCTCAACAGGAAGGTAAAGCCCCACAGTTCCAGGAACACAGTGCGAAGGTTCAGCAGTCTGATGGTCAACAAGGACCACAAGATCATCTGCACAGAGCAAGTCAGGAATCTGGTTTGTTGGGGTGGTAACTCGTACAGAGGGACCACGCCTAGTAAGCTGTTTCAGTCGACAAAAAGACATCTATGAAATTCGGTCAGACACATAAACTGTCTAGGCAAGTTAGTGGTAGACGACGATCCTGCAACACCAAGTTACAGGACTGTGACCAGGACACTGAATCCTGGTTGCTGGAAGGCAACCCCAAGATGCTACTAGCACATCTCCAATAGTTAGCCTCCAGCATAGAAAAGTGAACTGACCTTTGCACATGACTAGTGAGGGTGATGGGGAAAGAGACAGAGCAAGTGTGTGATGAACAAAATGAGATTGCAATTGTGGTGTATTATGAATATCATTCGGGAAACATACAGAGTAAAAATGGTATCAGGGGATGATGAAGGAGGTTACTGACTATTTGAACCATAACCACGCAGTGCAGTTGGAATAAGGTGGGGAAGAAGGGACGGACAACCAAAAGTATCAAAGAACGACTGTACATAAAATATAGCCAACTTCTTTTCCATTGCCCAGACATGTGACGATGATGCTAATGGCATAATTGGCTCTGCCAAGTCTGAGGGGCATCCTGGCCATACAGCAAGTAACACCCAGAGCTTCTCTACATACTCCCATTTCGATTGAAAGTCAGACAAGCCAAGGCCTTGATTTTGCTGAGGGAAAGGCTCAGCACACATGGTGAGTTCCAAATCACCAGGGAAAATCTGCATAGAGTTCAGAAACAGTGCATTCCTGGTGAGGTAAAATTGTACTTACCTGCCAGACATGATCGAGCCACTCTGAATCCTGATTTGACCACAAGCTAGGCATCATTGCATGGTCAAGAGCAACCAACTCAAACTGCAAGTTGTGTTCATATAAATCCCATAAAATCTTGCTTTTCATCATCTGATCAATGGTAGTGAGGTCTGCAAGGGAAATTGAAATATCCCAGAATTATACATGGCTAGGTATGTCGTGTTGGAGGCTGATGAGCTTGGGACTGAAGAGGGCAGCAGATTCATGTAGTCAGTTGCTGGAAAATGTGGATGAAATCTGCTTGGGAATTGTGTTCAGGAAATCCCACCAGGACCAAGGGATAACAGGAGATGCATCCAAGGCAGAAAGATGAGTGATCCAACCTGCTCAAGAGACTAGCCAATTCCTCAGGTACCTCTGCTGGCAATTGGAGGACTTGCCCCTCACAAACAGACTTGGGCTGGGAAAGAAGTAAGCTACCTTGGGTGCATTGGGACTAACCCTTTTTGCATCCTTATTCATGTCCTTCAGGGCAGCATGCCATGCAGACATAGTAGGGGGAATAGCTGGATCATGAAGGTCTTCCCACAGTTCAGGATTCAGAACAACCAATTGCTTGGCTCCTCTCAAGCCCACAGGGGGATCTGAGCAAAATGTTAAACACACTGAGACAAAATGAATAGGTTACATACATGGCTGATTACATTGTTGAGCCCTGCCCATCCTAACAGCTCCTGTACTTGAACTTGCACTGCTGGAACTTGCAGCATTGGAAGCTGTGGGACCCATGCTTGTGGGAGTGGAGGCCACACCACTGCTGGTGCGCAGTGGTTCCAGCCAGGGAGCTGCAAATTGCTCAAGCCCAATTGCTGGGCCTTGTCAAGTGTGCCTGTGGCATGATTTACCAGGGTGGTACCAGGCACTGTGCCATTTCAGCATCTGCCCAACCTCAAAAACCTCAGGATCTGTGACTATGTCATGAGGGCATGTAATCTCGACAGTTTTCAACACTTGCATGTCTGGGGGTACATGATCAGGTTTCCAGACCATCCAGACAGGCACACATATTTCGAAAAGGCACTGGCAAATGTTGGGGTCTGTCATGAATGCCCTGATCCAGCAGTCAAATGAATCAACAAAAGTGCCCATAGCAGGGTCAAGGTCTGTGTCCAGATATTCTAGCATGCCAAAGATGTCTAGGAGGAGGCATTGACAAAAAGCAACCAATATGACTGTGTCTTGAAATGTAAATGGGAGTTGCTAGAGAAAATTTTAATTAACGAAATCTGAACCAGAAAAAAATCATGCCTTCAGATGCAGGAGACATCACCAACATGACCCCAGCCACAAATTGGGTCTCAGAGGACCTTTGTAGTGGGGGTGCTTCTTTAGCAATCTTGCAAATGTTCATCTAGTTGATTATAAACAGTCTCCATTGACTTCCACTTGTCAGCATGAATCCTTCCAACTTTGAAGGCAGACCCTCTTTCCAGCACAAAATCCTCTGCTGACTGGGTAATGTTCCACCACAGCCACTTCCATGTTGGGTTGTCTCCATAGGCCACTTTCCAGGGGACACATGGACTCCATGTGTAGTGTTCTGCAAACAGCTGTGGCCATTGAAAACAGTCTATATGGCTGAACCATCCATCATGTAGGGGTGTGATTGTTTCTCCATCAAAGATGAAGGGTTGGGGAACATAGTCAGTGTTTGGCGACATGATCCAGTGGTCATCACACTTCACTAGGAGGTGTGCATCAAATGCACCCCATCTCCCTGAAAATAACAATAATCAATTTGAGCTGAGTTAGGGACAGCAAGAACACACCATTGCCAGGGTGGTTGTGCAATGATAATTCATAAGGGCAAATGCTAGCTACATTCATCCTGGAAACAAAAGAAGTCAGTCAGTACTTACTTAAATTGACAGAGATGACGACAAGGGGAGAAAAAAATGAATCATGCAGCATTAAGGCCAGTTCTCCCCTCACCTTTTAGTCCTGAAGATTTGAGTTAGCACACATCCATTCATATCTATCCCTGCCAATCAAATACATGGTGTGTTCCTCTATGGTATCAGAGACTTGGTGCGATGTTACCTTCAAGGGCAGTGATTCTGATTGTTGATCTCAAGTTCTCCTTTCTACTATGAATTTTCTCCAGGTTGCCTCATGATCAACCATGCAAAGTTCTAACATGGGTACATGGTTAGCTTTTCAGTGTATCTTATCCATCACTTTCTGCTACTTCCTCCAGGGTATTATGAAGAGTTACATCACATCTAAGTGCACGATTTGTTGTGGTTGAACTTCCAGTTTTCCTGCAATGGCTTCTGACAAATGGGGAAAGGGAACAAGGTAGCCTTCTGCTGGAGATCTGCTGTCATACTTACAATTCTCTGCACATTCACTCTCCAGCCTTTCCTTCCCATTCCCTGACCCACCATGTCCAAAATACCTTTGCCCAGTACTGGATTGGATATAAGCTCTAGCAACCTTAGTACGTGTTTTTCTGACTAACTCCTGACAACTAATGCATTTTGGCACAGGTGCTCTAATTACTCTGATCAGAAACCTCGAATTGAATGCAGCAGATGCTGAAATGCTAGCAAGCACTTTGTTACTAAGATCTCGTGCTGAAGGTGAGTATGTTCTTAAGTGACATTTCTGGACTGATCATATTGCAGCCTTCATAGGGTCATCTGGCTCACAACCCACATACCCCATGGCAGCATTATGCCCATCAAGATTGGGGGTTTCAGGATTGTTGTCCTGCAAAGAGTGTACACCTGCCACCTTATCCCCCTTGATCCCCATTTATGCAGAATTTCTCACACTGCCAGTATCAATACATTTAATGCCATCTAACTCAACTGATCCCTCCACTATTCTTGTCTGCAGCCACCCAGATCATGAAGCAAGGGTTCCATATCTAGTGGATGACTGTGTGCATACTCCCACTGGAATTTTTTTTACCATATCCATGTAAAGACTAACAGCTATTGTATTATCTGTTGGCAAGTATTTCTCGCAGCAGTCTCCAATTAATTACTATGAAGTATAAATCCTGAGGCCATGTATTGCATATGGCAGCCTGACTGTGAAGCAAGTTGCAACTCAGCACTTTCCATCCTTCATAAGAGCTAGTTCAGAAACCTTGGGTAAGTCGCAATTAGTTCCTTCAATGCTTGTACATGTTTTTCCACTGGGGCAGTTCACATAGTGAGTTTGAATTGAGTTTGAAACATGTCCTGTGATGCATTATGATGATCTGGATCAGCTTAGGCTTGCCTGGCTATCGGCTGCCACCATTGTTGCCCTTGTATCCCAGTACACTCTGGATTCACTAACTCACTCAATGCCTAATAAGACTAGTGCTCCCACTCCACAAGTTCATTGGAACCATGAAGAAACTGCTGCTCTTGTAAGGTTCCTGCATGACAATTGGCATGGAGCAGGCAATAATGGGAACTTCAAGATGGCTACATATCAAGCCACTGCCCTGCATATCGCCAACTATCACACAGATGGACCTCCTAAGACCTATCAAGCAGTGAGAAACAAGTGGACTGGCTATGTAAGTCAGCATTGTAAACTGCTTGTGATTTTTACTGATCTTCTGTCATAGATTTGAAAGATATATTGCAATATCAAGTACTATTGAGCACAACCATCTGGAGCCCACTGGGACAATGAGAAGGGGGCTAATATTCAGGGTCAGCATGCTGAGCAGGTGTTCGAGGATTTTGTGAAGGTATTTTTATTTTTATTTTTTACCCTGTGGCTTGATGAACTGACAATTACTCTTAGAGTCACCCCCTCATTTGCCAGTTCAAAATGAGTGGATGGGATTTATATCCCTACAATGCAGATATCATACCCCATGGTGGTGCCTGTGGGGCCAATGCCTTTAGTCCAGATAGTTCCAATGCCACTGCCAACAGCCTAGACAATGGAGATGGTGGAGTGCCAACCATTCAACTAACCACTTCCACTTCAGTGCCTTCTGAATCCGCACCCTCCTCCACTCCCACACCCATTGAACCCATATCCACTTCAGTGCCTGCTGATTCTGTGCCAGCACTTCCCCTAGTCCTGCCTGGGTCAGATGATGACCATTTCCCATTTTTCAATGATCTGCTGTCTACCATCAACCCATCCAACATTTCTATCCCTCCATTCAGTGCTCTGTTGTCTAGTGGGAAGCGGTCTCACACTGACATGCTTGGTGATGATGAGGTTTTGACTACCATGTCCATTTTCCCATATGCCAATGCAAGTGACATTTCTGCTACTGCTCCTGCCTCCAACAAACATGCCAACCTCTCTGGCACTTTGGACTATGCAAAAAGCTCCCATTCCTGTCGTTCTCGCAATCCTCCGCCTCTGCCTTCACTTGTGATATCAAACCCTATCATGGTAGGCCTACAAGGCTCGATCAACTTCCTCACTTCATCGATCAACACACCAATGACATCTGCCATTGATAAAGCATCAACAATGAGGGCACAAGTGATTCATTTACTGGACAATTAAGACCAAGATTTCCCCAGTCCCATCAAAGTGTTCATCTGATCATTGATTGTGCAGAATCTTGGCTTTGCTGATGTATACTTGAGGACAGCAAAGAAGGAAGATTGTTTGGCACTTGCTGAACTGGAGTATCAGATAAAACTCAGGATTGGTAGTTCTCAGACTGGTACACAGTAAAAAATACTATAGGTAGATTGATGTTTGCTGTACCTCCATACCTGCTATCATTGTATTGCAATCTTTTTTTTTCTTTATTGCGATCTATCTTTTTTTTCTTCATCACACATGAGAGATCCAAAAGTGTATGTATATTGCATGGAATGGGAACAAATGAACTATGCATCTACAACATTGATATATCGCTCATACTGCTACTGGTGTTAGTGGAGTCATCAGAGCTATAGTCATTGCTACCTGAGGGCAATTGCCCGAGATCCTGCAATCAAATAATTTCCTGATAATTGTCCCACATATGTTGAGCAATCTGGTCATGGAAAGTGCATGCCACTTCAAGCTGACCTACATTGGGATTATCTTTGTCAGCTCCACCCTCATCTGCTGATCCCCCAGGCCCTCCTGCACCTCACTCATCCACATGGATATCCTGCCCTGGCATTGGACCTTCTTTGGCATCATGAGTACAGATGAAGTTGTGCAGTGCACAGAGTGCTGAGGGGATTCAGCCTTGGACATCGATGTTGTACTCAGGGCTTAGTAGTAAGATGCGAAAACAATGCTTGAGGACACCAAATATTCACTCAATGACATTGCACACAGATGAGTGCCAGAGGTTGAACAATTCTTCTTTGTTCCTGGGTCTTGTCAGTTCAACAGGATGATAAGATGGATAATTCAAAGAAAATTACCTTAAATGTGCTTGGTGCTACTCTGCAAGGTGGTAGTGAGTCACCCAGTATGGGGCTAGAATTTCTGGGTGCAGGGGGAATCTGGCTGAATATCATCAGCACCAGGCATCTTGACATATGTGGAATAGAAGGGTGATGATGATAGGATGAAGAGTATCTTGCAAAAGTACCTGATCAAGGAGGTTAGAAAAGTATTAGAAAACTAAGGGTGATGACATACCAAGATATAGTCTCATTTGACTGTTGAAAATGTTCACCAATGTGCCTGATAGTCAGACCCATCACACTCATATAGAGGAAAATAGCTAGTTGTTCTTCAAGCGAAACAAATCGAGAGTTGCCATGACCAATCTGGCGAAGCTCCTCCACAAGTTGTGCAAAGACATCAGTGTGAACACCAAGTTCACATTGGATTCATTCTGGATGACCTGCAAGGAGCTTGATAAGCCATTCCTCACCAGTTAGTGCTGACGTGTGGTAAGGCTCTGGAATCCTTCAGATTGTGCTTCAGTACAACTGATCATGCAGAGGATGATATTGATGACAAGAGCAATATGGCACAGCAAGTGTTGGTGGTGAATCTCCTCATGATCACCACCAATATTGACATCATCCATCTTGCATACAGGAGGAAATGTTTCAAACTCAATTCAAACTCACTACATGAACTGCCCTGGTGGAAAAACATGTACAAGCATTGAAGGAACTAATTGCAACTTACCCAAGGTTTCTGAACTAGCTCTAAATTTCTACCATTCAAGCTCTACCACTTAGCAGTGGAACACTTGGACCATCTCTCTGCTAAATGTCATGGGCTTGGTGCCCTTGACAGCCCCTGAAGGCTTGGGGCCTTCAAGGGTGGTCCTGGTGTCAATCCAGTGATCAATTGCACAGATGACAATGACCCTTGTCACTCAGTACCAGAGATTCATTTCAGCAACAACTTTGCCCAAAGGTCATCATACCTCTGACATTTGGTCTACATTATGTGCTCAATTTGGCTATCAATTGCATGAAAGGGACTGCATCTATTGGACTGTGTCAACCCTGCTCTCATCAGTGACCGCCCTTAGGGGCTTGAATGATTCATTTTCCATCTAGTAAGCCCACTCCTTTCTCTATTGCTGGATACTGATGAACTCTTGTGGTTTTTCAGTCCTGAGGAAACCCACTTTCTGGGTCATGCAGACGGAATACCACTGTTCTGGATTTCGATTGGAATTCCACCCATATGTTTCCATTTTAATAGGTGTGTCATCCTTGCTATGCATTACAACCACTTCTTTCCTGCATGCTTTTCCTTCATCCCCCTTACATCATGTCCTCTTTTGTGGTTTCATATGTCCTTGCTGATGCTATATCCAGAACTTTGCATGCTGAGACAACATGTTCTAGACAGATTTTTTTTCCCATGTGGTTCATCTTGGCTTGATGTGCTCTGACCTTAAATACTCACCTTGCCACCCCCTGTTTCTCAACACCCCCATACAACCATGCCCCACTCTGCTGATATCCCAGAGCCTTTGAGGGACTCCATTGCCGACTTGAACACTCGCATTCTTCACAACCAAAGGATTCTGTCCTCACAAAATTCCCTGGTTTCCAAACAAGTAAAAAAAGGTGGTGCTGTTGTCTCTAATGATGGAGTGCAACACTCAGAGGTATGTCTTGTAGTATATTTCTCATCCATTACTCTGATGTCATTTTCTGCTCACAGCAATCTACTCTGAAGGATATGATTAGCAAACTGAAACTGCAGCATGCAGTCCAGCCTCCTGAAGGCTGGGAAGAGCACATGTTTGGCCTGAGAGATAGAAGATGCTCCTTGACACCTTGTCCTTCCATTGCAAACACCCCAATGCTCCCTTCCCCTTGCCTGTGCCTGGATGACCAAATCCATGATGAGGACTCTGCAATGGAGGAGATGGAGGAGAATCCCAACAACAATGAAAATGAGGATGACCAGCCTTCCAGTAGCAAGAACAAGGATGATCAGCCATCCAGTAGTGAGAATGAGGATGACCTGCTGTCTGGTAGTGAGAAAGAGGATGACCAGCTGCCTGGTAGTGATGATGATGACAAGGGTTCTGATTACAATGAGAATGAGAATGACGATGAGATGGAGAGCTTGAGTGACTCCTGTGGTAGGTTTTTCTGTTTCATATCCCTCATTCTCTCATGTTTTTTTCAGATAATTCTCATTTCTTTTGATTTTGGGGTTTGGTGCCTCTCTGGTCATGCGATGGTGGGCTTGGTGCCCACTTGTGTTTCAAAGCTTGGTGCTTTGGATACTCATGACCATTTCCTGCTGCCCATCATTCCCTTGGTTGTTATATAGATAAAGAATTGTTGTGATCCTGTTCTGTTACCATCTATATTCATCTGCCTCGTGTTGACATGTTGACTCCTAGATGATGATGATGCATGCACTTGCAATGCTCAGACTGTTTCTTGTGCCCAGTCCCCACTTCCCCTGTCCTTACCACCCACATACAAGTCTGATGACTCCGCCCATCCTGTAGGGGACATTGTCCATCCTCACCAAGAAGGTGGCCTGATCTATACTAGACTTCAGAAGAAGGGCAAAGGTAGGGCTATAGATGCTGAGGACATTGATGCTGCAAACCACAGTGACCATGACACCCAACTCCTGAACCTCAAGAAGCCAGGGAATCTGCCCACAGCAGCATTAGACAAAATATGTGCTTTTGCGAAGGACATCAAGACAACAGCAGAAGAACTTGGCCAATGGCACAGGTGGTCTACATGTGACATACTTGTCACTGCAGGATTTAGTGTTAAGGCTTCTCATACCAAAATTAATGAGGCCAACCTCTTCTGCTCATGGTATTGGGCCACACAGCCCAAACCAGATGGTGGTATGGCTTGCCTCCCTCTCACATCTACCATTCTAGCATCCTGACCAGCCAATTGAAATTCAATCAACAATTTGATTACAAAGGAGTACAACACCCTCATGATAGGCATCCCCAAGGATGACTTCATGGCAAGGAGGGAAAAGTTAAAAGCCATCTATGAGTGGAGTGAGAGCTCCTCTGCCATACTGACTAATTGATCTGTCAAATCTATTGCAGCTAGAGTGGACAATGCAAAGACACAATTTTCTGGATTGGTATGTGGTTGCAACTGTGCAGCCATCGATTCTGATTGTTCCACAGGCAGAGGTGTGGTCCAATCTCAAGGATATTGAGATAGTTGGAGCAGTAATGTATGTTGGACAGGACCCTGCAGGACATCAAACTTCTGGCATATTTGGAGGCTCTGAGATGATAAGAAACTTCATCAATGAAAATGGCATTGATGTCTGGTCACTCATGGATAAGTATACCACAATTTTCAAGTAAGTTTATTTCTTGCATGTTTCATTCAACCTCATTGGATTGTTGTAGGTGTCTCAGGAACAGTGATGGTGTGGATGCCAGGGTGGCTGGCACCAGTTCCATTGGAGATGTGGGTTCTGTGCTGGAACTATGTTGCCATACAAAGGAGACTCCAAGAGACCACAACTGCAGAGTATTTGGAAGCATGATGAAGGAGAAGATGTTGGCCGCATTGAGAGATCTGTGTGGTAAGTTATTCTTGTGCTGTACATGCATTTATCTTGATCCTTTGCTCAGTCACACATAGCATTAAAGTCAGTGATCCCCAGAAAGTTTCCTGGTACCAGCTTCTCCAGTTTTTGTGGAGGAGCCACCTCACTATTGTCAACTGGCCCCATGGTGTATCTCCACCAGGCCCTGGTTTCAAGTACAAGAAACTTAAGGCTGGCCCTCTTTGTCAACTTGTAGTACCTTGCCTTCAGAGAAAGCTGAGTCTTTTGTATGATGGGCAAACTGATGATGAGGAAGAACAAGATAGTCTGGATGATGTGCTGGAAATTGGGATTAAGTGCTGGAATGAAGGTATTCCCTATTTTATTCATCTAGTGGGATGCTGAAGTTCTGTGTAGAGGTCATCAATATTTTGGATGCTGACCCTTTGAAGGGTGAGATCACACTCATCAAAGCTACCAATGGTACTGTTTTGCAGCAGATCTCAGATGATCCAGAGTGGCAGAAGTCCCTCAAGGAAATGGATCACCAGCAGCAAGGCATGGAGGTCCTTCGACAGCCACAACCCTGACTGCAGCAACAACTCCCTTTTCCCTCTTGGAAGTGACCCCATGTGGAGGCATCAAATCACGATACTATTGGTCCCCAGGTAAGTTCTGCTCTTTACTTGATATCTGGTATCTGCTGATGTTTGTAAGGCTTTACAGTCTGACCATCAAACTGTGCCACACAATCAACACTGGGATGCATGCCCCATTGCACCAGATTCACATTGTGACCCATCCACAATTCCAAGCAATGTGCACACTCACGAGCCTGGCCCATCTGAGCCTCCCATGCCAGCTCTGCAATATGGGGTAGGGTTTGGTTCCTATGGTCTGATAACAAGATTAATGAAGCATCATATAGGATCTACATTGGGATAATCTTCCAAGCCATCCTCACATGCAAGAGGCTGGCCCAGCCCAGCAGTCTTTTCCCAGATGACAAGTGAGTATCCAGGTCTCTGACTTTTGGTAACAAAACTAAGGAAAAATTATGTAGGATTCTTGGGGTGACCATATGAACTATCGTGATCCTGGTGCATCTAATATCCCATATCATGTGAGTAATTTGATTTTGCAGAGGTTTCACCATTGACTTGCATTCTCTCTAGGCATTACCTTCTGGCCACCACACTCAATTTCCTCTGTCTTGCCAAGGATTCCATTGCATTCTGTCTCGAACCAACCATCCTTACTACAATGGTCCATATACCAATGACTACTACCCTCCAACCCAGTTGGGTGAACCTCATTGGGTTAACAGGGGTAATGCTGCACAATATGAGGATGATTTTGCTGAGGAATATATAAATGAAGATTACTACTAGTGTAGTTTTTGCTTCCCCTACAACATATTTGTCATGCACTGCTTGTATATTGATGTCACTGGTGTCAGCAATGATGTTACCATCAGATTTGGGGGACAAGTCTGTGGCTCTCCACTCAGTCCTGTGCCGTTCCTATCACTTTTCACACCACTTGTTTCCCTTGCCAAGGCCTCTCTGGGGGGGCCTCTTTTGTCTAATTGCATGGAGCCACTATTGAGATATCACCATTTTTGTGTTTGGAGGGCAGTGAGACAGTTTTGCACATAGCTCAAGATCCAATGGTCTGATCATGGTGGCTCCTTTTTTTCTGTGTTTATCTATGAGTACCTGACTGCCTTCCTGAGGCCCATGTTGATCACCCCAGCTGTTGTCCTGAGGTCATCACCTGCTTGTTCACTTGCCTAGAGTTACCCCTATCATCTTGGGGCTGTATCTCAGTGGTTTCTCTGACATGTCTCTCACTTTTTTGCAGACTCGCACTACTAGATGATGACTCCCTGGAGATGTCTAGATCATTGTGATTGGTGCAGTAGTTATGGAGATGTTCACATTTTTGTGGCAAGGTCCACCCCTTAAGGTCCTCTCATTGTACCTCATGCATATCTGCACCACTTCTCTCACTTTTCGAGCCACAAATCCCTCTCACTGACCCATTTCTGGGGTGCCCTTGTTTACCCAATTCTGCTTGCTCATTGTTGAGATATTCCCACTGTTGTGTTTGAAGGGTTTTGAGGCAGTTTAGTGTATACCTCAAGATCGGGTGACCCAATCAGCATTTTCCCTCTTTCTCCCTGATTGCCTGGGAGTCCTCTACCACATCCCATAGTTTTGTGTCAGTTGCCCCAGCCATTACTGTTACATTTCAGTACTGGCCACTTATCAACTCTTTGTTAGGGGCAGTCCAGGGTCAAATCACATATGGTACCAATGTCCATCACATGTCCATTGCTGTTAGGCACTGTACATGATGCCTCAATCTGTATATACAATTCCTGCAGTCCTAGCTACTGTGTTTGTGCCTTGTTGCTCCTCGTGTTACAGCTATTTTCAAAACTGAGAGCAAGGCCAAATAAACAAAATCACACACATATAGTAGCTAAATGTTATAACTTTGATATCTCAATCAATTCAAGTCGGATCACTGCAATTTTTGCAGATTCAGAATCAGGGAAATTAGATGTAGGTCCTGGTGTAAAAATTAGACTAGTTCTAGCACTATATAAGTCTGAAAAATCATAGGCTGAGTTCACATATACAATCAAAATCGCAAGTGATCTAGGCATCTGTACACCTTAGCAAACTAATAGTGGTCTTCTATACATCAATTGTCCAGCAGGCTTTCAATGATTTTTGGGCAGTAGAGAGCCCTCTGCTTCCAGATGTTCATTGCACATATAAGTAAGATTGGAAGCCTATTATTGCATATTTCTTCACACAAGATTCATATCCTTGGAGCCCTGTGTATCATCTAGAGAACAGTAGCAAAAATTTATGCAATTATGCATTGTGTTGTTGTGATCTGAACTTCTACACCTAGTATTGTCATATCTACACTTGGTGGCTGCTTGCCAATCATGTGCTACCCCCTACCTGTGTCCCCTTGCTTCAAATAAAATCATAGTAGAAGGACATGAGATTGAGAAATAATACAACACTTGAGACCTGCAGAGTATGATTGCTGGATACAATTTGAATAGCATTCTTTGGGTGCCATGACTATTTCAAGCAATGATATGTATAGGACATTTGGAGCCATTGAGTGAACCTGATCATGTCAGCAACTACTCATGCATATGGCTACACCCACTCAAATGCAGTTATTCACTGCTCACTGCTCATCTGGTCACTGACTTTTCATCTCTGCACATATTTTTTGGTACTGTTCTCTAGAAATTACACAGGGCTAAAAGGATATGAATCTTGTGTGAAGAATTATGCAATAATGGGCTCACAATCTTGGTTATATGTGAAATGGACATCTGCAAGGCAAACCTGTGTCTCATTGCCCTGATTCTGAATCTCCAAAAATCATGGTGATCTGACTTGAACTGATTGGTGCCATTGATTGAGACTGTTACAATGTGACAATATATATCCCAATTGTGGGCAGAGGGCAATGTGGATGTCAGAGATACAGGGTAGGATGTCCAACATTTTCCCCAGAGGGGGGGAGGGATGTCCCAATGTAGCCTTAGAGGCAATTGTGGGACATCCCACTGGTTGGCAAAGGGGAGGGTGGGATGTCCCAAAGTAGCCTTGTGAGGAAAATGAGACCAGTCCTAAGATTGAACCAGTGACCTCCTAGGTGTTTACCAGGTGCTGCAACCACTGAGCCATATGGTCTGGATACTAGTGTCAGTAGCTTGGGGGCTTAGACTAGCACTGTGGGAACATATCTCCATGAAGTTAATGCACAGAATGCACCATCTCCAATGTGGTCCCTTCATCTGGCCACTTTTGGGGTGTAAAAACAGTGCACACCCCCTAGGGTCATGCAAATGGTCTGATTGCCTTTTGACCTTGTGTCATGTGATGGATCAGGATTTACTGCTGTGTTTCCAGGAGGCCTTACTATCAGCCACCTTGTGTCCATGTAACTCACATGATCTGGACTTGCTAAGGATGCTGCATGACCCATTGTACTAAGCATGCATGGGTTCCAGATGCAGCTCATAACCTGATGAAAATGTGACCAGAGCTGGCATTGAGCCAGGACCCTCTCAGTGTCAAGCAGCTTCTCTGACCATGGAGCTACCTTGCATTGGATTCTCTATGGTGCTTGTAGGATTAGTGCAGATTACTACTTCAACACCTTAGAGGCTGTGTTGGGACATCCCTCTGGTTGCCAGAGGGGAGGGTGGGATGTCCCAATATAGCCTTAGAGGCTGTTGTGGGACATCCCACTGGTTGGCAAAGGGGAGGGTGGGATGTCCCAATGTAGGCTTAGAGGCTGTTGGGGGACATCCCACTGGTTGGCAGTGGGGAGGGTGGGATCTCCCAATGTAGGCTTGGAGGCTGTTGTAGGACATCCCACTGCTTGGCAAAGGGGAGGGTGGGACATCCCAACATAGCCTTAGAGGCTGTTGTGGGACATCCCACTGCTTGGCAGAGGGAACAGTGGGATGTCCCAATGTAGCCTTAGAGGCTGTTGTGGGACATCCCACTGCTTGGCAAAGGGGAGGTTGGGATGTCCCAAGGCAGCCTTGGAGGCTGCTGTGGGACATCCCAAGTCCCCTTGTGAAAGTCAGTGGGATGTCCCATCCCAGCCTCAGCAGGCTATGATGGCACATCCTCCTAAGTTATCTTTGCAGACCAGCACAATGCCCCATGATGACCTCAGAGGCTCATCTGGGACATTCTGCCCTCTGCAGATGGTGTTGCAAAGGTGACCAACCCCATGTTCTATGTGGGGGACTTTGAGATATTGGCTTGTCACACAAGTGTTCAAAAACCATTTACTTCTTCCTTCATACAGTACAAATTGCATGAGGTATAGACACAAATTGATTGAATTTATTATTGCAATTTTCAAGGCAAATGTGGAGGCCCAGGTGGGTCATCTCCCTGGCAACTAGTGAGATGTCCCAATACAGCAGAATCACATTGCAAAGATGTACATGAAAAGTACTATTGTATACTACTATGCATGGTGGGATGGGAGGGGATGTATAGGTTGAAGGACACTTTGTGGATTAAATCTGTCAGAGGAGCAAGGGGGCTAGGATTTCTGCAGCTATTTCAATGCTAATATAAGCTGCACTTTCAGGAGTAGGGACCCCAGTCACCCAAGGCAGTCTTGGGACATCCCAAATAATTGCATTTGAATGGATGGCTATGTGGGAAATCCCATCTGTCCCAGGGCCTAAAAATCTGCATAGCCCTGGGACATGACCAGATGTCCCTGGGCAGACCTTGGTCTGGGAGGCTATTAGGCTGGATGGTTTGGAGAAACTATTCAGCCTAAATGCTTATAAAAAATGGTTACCTGAAGTGCAATTGACCTCAGACACCACTACACCATCGAGACCATCACTATGGTCAAGAATTGCCTTATCACTGCAAGGGATAAGAATGATTTGGATGAGGAGGATGAAGATTCTGATACCTCATCTGATATCACTTGGAGGGTGCTAGTCTTGCAGCAGATTCGGAACTATGTGGTGGTTGCCACTACACTCAGTCTATACCAGGCTGCAGTCTCAACACTTTGAAGCACTACCCCAGAACCTTACCATACATCTGCTCTTTCAGGACAGGGATGGCTAAATAAGTTGCTTAATGGGCACCCCAAGCAGATCAGAACTGAGCTCAGCATCCACAAACATATCTTCCTCAGGCTGATATCCATCCTTCATGAAGGGGATCTCCAAGATTCAAAGAATGTCATGTTAGAGGAGCAGCTGGCAATTTTCCTGTATGCAATGGTGACAGGCTTATCAGCTTGGCACATCGGTGAGTGATTCCAATGCTCGATGGATACAATATCATGGTGAGTGCACTGTCATTTGGATTGAAATTCTGCTAAACTTTACCCAGGTATTTTAAATGAATGCTCCATGCATCCTCCAAGGGTTGCATTTATACCACATACAGTCACCTTCCCAGAGCTGATTCACCAGTTCCCAGTCATATTGCCACCAATCCCAAATTTTATCCATACTTCAAAGATGCCATAGGTGCCCTCAATGGTACACACATCACATGTGCACCATCCACAAGTGAACAAGACCTCATGTGCAACCACAAGGGTTTCTTATCTCAAAACTGTCTCATCGCATGTTCATTCAATGGTATCATCACATATGTTCTCAGAGGCTGGGAAGGGTCAGCTGCTGATGCCATGGTCTGCCACAATCCCTGCTTGTGGGACTTTGCTATTCCTGATGGGTGGTATTACCCTGCTGATGCAGGGTATCTGTTGACTCCACAGCTACTTGTACCATACCATGGCCAATGCTATCATTTGGCTGAGTGGGGGCGAGCCAATCTACAGTAAGTAC